TGGACCTCTTCACAAAGACACAAGACTGGCCCCCTGCCCCCAACAGACATGCTTGGCCAGAAGTGATCTCGTTAAATCTTGCAGCACCATGCCATCTTCATTGGCCTCTCCCACGGGTTTAATGGCATGATCAGGATTCTCCTCCCTTCTTTAAAAGGGATCATTTCCTCCTAGCAACAGTTTACACAGCTGACCTCTCTTTGGGCAGGGCAGCTACTTCTATCTCTCATTACATAAATGAGGAAATAAAATCTGAGAGAGGGTGCATGGTTTTGCCAAGGTTACACTGCTAGAAAAAAACAGAACATAACTCAAACTCAGATCTTTCAGAACCCTAACCAAGAGCTTTCCCACCTGCACCGAGAGGAGAAAGAAAAACAGTCAAACACGGGACAGAGCCGTCTGCTGCAGCAGGGAACCTAAAAATATCATTCTGTGGTAGTGAGTGGGTCCGCACGCTTTCCACCCAAAGAGCGCCTGCCTGCAGTGCGGGGGAGGACACTGGGAAAGTAGCCCCGGCTGAAGGCAAGCACCATAAAATCATGGCCGTAGAGACTCAAGGATGCACTGAAGGCAGAAAGGCCTGAGAGAAACCAAGACCCAGCACTCATACATATGGGAATGCCAACCCCTTTTTCTTTCTTGTCTTAAAAAGCCATCGGAGCAGTGTGGTGGCCAAACAGGCATATATTTTTCACACACAGTCTTGTAGACACATATAAACACATTTATATGTATATATATATATATATGTGTGTGTGTGTGCACACACACACACACACACACACACACACACACATATGTGTAGTGTCCAGGGATATGACTATACTTGCCGTGCAAGCCTGAGGAACAGAGTTTGGATCCCCAGGAGCACACATAAGCATTAGATGGGCATGGAAACTTGCCTGTAATTTCAGCCCAAGAAGTAAAAAACAAAAACAAAAACAAACAAACAAACAAACAAAAACAACAGCGGATCTTCAGAATAAGCCAACTGGCATGACTACCATGTCAGTGAGCTCTGGGTTTGATTGACAGACCTTGCCTCAATGAATGAAGTAGAAGAGAATGGTTCCTGAAATCAGCCTGGGGCCTCCACTTTGCATAAGCACATAGGTTCACCCAAAAACATGAACAAGCATGCATGCGTACACGCACAGCACGTATACGCACCTAAAAATGGTGGGTGCTCTAATGGAGATTTTTTTTTTCAGCACTCTAGACCTGGATTTGAATTCAGACTCCACATCCGAGCTGGATGTCTTAAGGTAGCTCATCTTTCTCAGCCTATTCCCTCATCTACAAAGCGGACATGGCAACAGTGCTCACCGTAGGAAGCTGTGTGAATAAGATGATATGTGAGCCGGGCACAGTGGTGCACGACTGTAATCCCAGCACTCAGGGGGGCAGAGGCACACGGATCTCTGTGAGTTCGAGGCCAGCCTGTACAGAGCGAGTCCAGGACAGCCAAAGCTACACAGAGAAACCCTGTTTTGGAAGAAAAAAAAAAAAAAGCCAAAACACCAAGAAAAACCCAAACAAAAAAAAAGAAAGAAAGAAAAGAAAAAAGTTGCCATATGTACGGTGGCAGTACAACCTGAGACTAGTAGTACCAATAACGTTGTCATGGAAAGTCCCTGCCACACAGTCAAGAGTTCTCTTTGCACTTTCTATCATGATGTAAAAATTAAAATAAAAAACAACACGATTTCAAGTATCTGTGCAGCCTCTTGCATATATTAAGTTCTTAGGCATATTTTCTGAAGGACATGGGATTTCTGCTTTTTCTATCAAGCAAACCATTCATAAGGGGCTTATTCTTTGTCTCCAGCATAAGGGATGTTCTTGGTGATTTTTGAAGAGACTCAAAAAGATTTCTTGATGCTTGTTAGAGAGGACTGGTTCCCTGGCGGTTGCCCTCTGACCACGAGTCAGGAGAGATATGGCTTAAGAGAGTAATTTCAGTGGAGACTGGCCTGCAGCCAGATGAGAAGGGTTTGGGCACAGAAACTGGAGACCAAGAAAGGAATGTGTACAGTCTATCAAAGATGCTGTGATAAGAGCGACGTGAAGCAGAAACAGAAAGAACATCATATTTGAACGTGCTTCTTGGGGAGGCAAGTTAGGTGAGAGATGGGGGAGGGGAAGGGAGGGAGAAGGGGAGGAAAGGGACATATGTCAAAGTAACACTCTGGCATTTGAAAATGGGAGTCTGTGCAACACCCCACCTCTGAAAAGAAAGAAACAAACAAAACAAAACAACTCTTTCTGAGAGAGTCTCA